TTTTTTTTTAAGAGACAGGGTTTCACACTATTTTATGGTCCTAGTTTCACCACTCCATAGCTTTGTGCCCTTCAGAAAGTCACGTATGTCTCCAAGCCTCAGTATTCCTCATGTGTGAAATATAAATTTGGACTAGATGTGTCCAATGGGAGCCCTTCTAGTCTCACAGAGTAGGGCTTATGCTGATCCATCTGTAAGAATTCAAATGGGCCTGAGAACAAAGGCAGGATGTGCCTAGCTTTGGCTGAACATATTCCATTCGCTGGATTTCCCCACTTTATTTTCAGCCTAGGCAGACTAAAGATACCTCAGGCATCTGGCCAGTCGTTTCCAAGAACCTGCTTCAGCTCGGGTAGCAAGAAGATCAGCAATTCCATCAACAAGCAAGAAAAGGACACCACTTACAGCAGAGTTCAAGGTCACAATCGGCAAGCCAGGACTCAAATCAAACAGGCCACCAGTAGATTTCTGACTGAAGAAGGGGCTGGTGGGCAGGTCCTCTTCATCTCCCCTCATATGTCATGTCCAGCCAGAGGATGGGTAAGAGAAACGAGCTCAATGAAAATAGCTCCACTAACTAATCTGGCCAAACCAGTAGTGACCTCTTCTCCACTGGCCTTTCCCCTTCTGGGGCTCCCGTTTCCTCAAGGTCATTTGGGACCACAAAACTGGAAATAAGTTCTAGTTTCCTGCTATCACCTCAGAAAGGCCTTTGGCTCATCCCTAACAGACTTTAATTTGCCTCTTTGTATCTAGGAAAGAAGGGAGGTCCCCCTCATAACCTTAATGGGGGAGTCAGTGGGAAGACACTGATCCAACTTAACTGCAGGATCTTAATGGCTAGGTGCTCTCACCTTGGAAATCCAAGATGTTGGGGAAGGAGTCCAGAGATTCCTCAGGCCTGATCCCAACAAATGCAGGAAGGGGCTAGGTCCCCATGACCTCAGAGTCTGAGATTATTCTCCAGTCTCAAACTTCTCCTCCTCCCAGGATCCTCAGCTTTGGACTGTGCTCCCAGCCCTTTCCTGAATAGTTCTCATCCTTGTGATTCCTCATTGATCTTGGTTTACAGTAGAGAAAGCGGGAAAATATCCAAATCCTGTCTCTGATATTCTTTGGTACACTCAAGGCAGTGTTGATAATATTAGGTTAGGAGGGAGGGGGTTAGACCTATTTTTGCCTTACCAAAAGGGGGAGGTGGAAGAAACTCACCTAAGTTAGGGATGCGGATTTGGGGTATTTCCTGTCTTGGAGAGAATAGGTAGAGTCCCATTTGCACAGGGAAAGAAGCCCTGGTACTCATCCTCCTTAGGCTCTGGTGTATTCAGAGATACAGCCATTTTGGAGAAGAAATTCCCTCTTCAAAGGAGGACAATTTAATGCTTGTACTTCATTCTTCTTAGGCAGAGTGATAAAAGGAAGTGACACAAAATGGGCTCAGTGGGAGAAAGGGCAAATGCTGATCAGCCCTTTTCTAAGTCTTCCATTTCCTTTCCAAGCCTCTTTCCTGGCACCTAGACACTCTTTCTCATCTGACCATACTTGGCTGCTCTGGATCCCTCACCTCTCCCTTACTTGGCTTGGCTCCTGTTTTTGGGTCTTGCTTTCTACCCTGAGCCGCCACACTAACACCTGTCCAGAGATATCAGGGATGTTTATACACTTCTCAGTGGCTGAACTGGGCCAGGCCTGGAGGGT